CACGCTACATTTGAGCGAAATTTGATGCGATTTGAACAACAATTCGATTTTTTACGAATTTTTTTTTAAAAAAAAAATCTGTAAAACTGATCTTTGTAGTATCCAAAAATGGTACTTTGTCCTACCTTTTGCATTATTTCTGCACGATCTAACAAAATTGCATGAAATTTTAGTATGTTGCACCACAGGATTTGCCGATCACGTGATATGAATTTTGTGCTGCATTTACTTACCTGATTTCGAACAATTAAAGTTCAAAAAGTGTCCACAATAATATGCTACCCCCTGTACTTGGTGCATCATCCATTTTTTATTTTTAACAAAAAAAAGAAAAAAATTATAGTGATTTTTTAACATCAGATGAATTGTTAGTAATTTGGTCACATGTTACATCAAAGTTCAAAAAACTTGCAATTCCAGAAGAAATAATTAAATTTGTAAAAGAACAAAAGAAGGTTTGTAAATTAAATTTTACATATACTGTATATTTATTATATATTGTATCTTATTATATATTTTATTAGAGTTTTCAACAAGATAGCTTGGAAACAATTGAGAGGTCCCTTAAACAAAATTCTACAGTTTTATCTAGAAATCTCTTAACAAAAGCATTTTTTAGATTATTAGAGGAATGTATTTTATGGGAGTTCTTTACTAATGTAAATGAATTAGCAGAAAGAATATTTATGATGGATTTCATTGTGCCATTATTTAACAAAACAGTCCATTATTTTAATTATACTACATCACATTCATGGTATGATATAATATAATATTTACAATTTTTTAAAAGTAAATTAATTTACAATTGCTTGTTTTTATAGGATAGATATAGAATCAAAAGCCTTCAAATTACGTCAAGGGTATAGCCGATGTTCTGACTATAAATTAAATAATAGAGATGGTACACGCACAGGTGTACTTGCTGAAGTAACAAGTTCTAGACGTGCAGATGATGAGCCAAAAATATATTGGGATATATATCAAGGAGCAATAAATACAAAAGATGAAATAGACCAGGATATCAAACAAAATGAAATATATCCGGATAAAGCAAAATGAATCATTATTTTCATAGTTGGATTTAAAATGAGTATATGCATCTTATACCTTTTGTCACCAGGTATATATATATTGGCAGAAATCGATTCGTTAATTATTCCAAAAACTATTAGAAACCCAGAGTCAATAATGAAATTATATCAAATTTTAATGTCCATTCGGGTTAGTTTTTTTTATTGATTTTATCTTTTTTTATTTTTATTTTTTGATATTTTAATGTTTAGATTGTATAATACATTCTAATTAATAGGATAATGCGATAGATATATTAGGTGATTGACTTTGTACTACACCTCTTCAAACAAATTATTCAATGTGGTTACGTCTAACTGCTAATACTCCAAATAAAGCAGATAATTGATCAAGTGATTTTTCTTTTTTTTTACATGGGATACTAATAAAGATAAATATATAAACAAACATATTTTAGTTAGATTACAGTTGAATTCTTGCTAATAAAATCATATGGGCTGATTTGACTCCCTTGGTGATCATTTGTGATATTTTCAAATATGATCTTCAAAGTTTACA